GGTTATCATATAAAAATTTCAAATTTCAGATAAGGTTGAGATTTGATACGTATAACCTTGTGTGAACAACGTAACGTCGTTGCGTTTACCAAACTGCTCAACTAATACCACATCTTCTTAATGAAAATTTTAAAATCTCCGCAGTCCAAACGAGTCACAGACTTTACATTCGGGTTTATTCTCGGTTTGCAATCAGATTACGAAAAAATTAAAACCGTCTTTTGAAAGCACCATTTATCGGCTGAAATTATTGCATAAAAATTTCACATTTGATTAAGATTTGAAACATACTAGTAAATATTTTTCACCATATTTTTAATAAAATGATACTGCCTCTGTCCCCGTAGTTAACAGTGGCGGATTTATGATTTGGGATTTGAGTGTTCATTATCTATACAATTAATATTTTAAAGAACAAGAAATATTTTACACAAAATTTATACATAAGTACTTGCATGTTTTTCAAACTTTCAAGTGTTCATGTGAACACTTTTGACCTAAAATGGCCCCACCAGTGGTAGTTAGGTTCTCACTTTTGTTTTTTGGATGTCCCAAACAAGTTCACACTTCCTTATTTGGCAAAGAAATCTACACCAAAACAGTGCCAAAATGGTGCACTCTACAGTAAAATTTACTCTTCAGTAAATTTATTTCCTTAATATGTGTGAAGTCAAACTGGGAATTTAAGTATGGGACGAAAGGAGCATATGGAATACTAAGCTTAACGAAGAGAATTCATTCTTAAAAAAACGATTTCATTCTTTAAAAGCATCTTTTATCAAACAGGGTGAGACTAATATAAAATTTTCAAATTTCAGATAAGGTCGAGATTTGAAACGTACAACCCTGTGTGAAAAACGTGACCTGGTTGCGTCTACCAAACCGCTCACTTAACAGCTTATCTTCTTAATGAAATTTAGAAAATCTCTGCGATCCAAACGGGTCTGAGACTATATGTAACCTCTCGGTTTGCAACCTGATTACAAAAATATTATTAAAATATAGAAAATGAAATTTAATGACATTCCACAAATTCAACCTGATTTAGTGAAATAATAATACGTTGTGTGATTATAATTAAATTGACTTTGAACTTACAATATTCTAACACTATAAATAGACACTATACTCCATTTTCCATACTCAACAACATAAGAAAAAGTAGGTAAATAGGTGCTTTAAAATCTATCTAGTGAGTCACTAGTTGACACAGTGAAAATAAAATTTACAAGCAAATTTTGAATAAGATGATATATGAAAAAAAATCACCCATGAAAAAAAAATCAAAGCCGTACTTTAAAAGCACTCTATATCGGTTGAGATTATTGCATAAAAATTTCACATTTGGTTAAAATTTAAAACATACGATGACTAAATTTTGTTACGACATTTGAATAAAATGATATATGGAATACTAAACTTAATGAAACTTCATTCCTTTGAAGAAAAATCGATTTCGTTCTTTAAAAGCATCTTTTATCAAACCGGGGGAGACTATCATATAAAATTTTCAAATTTCAGATAAGGTCGAGATTTGAAATGTACAACCCTGTAGTGTGAAAAACGTGACCTGGTTGCGTTTACCTAACAACATATCTTCTTAATTAAATTTGAAAAATCTCTGCGATCCAAACGGGTCAGAGACTATACATCCGGGTTTAGTGTCAGTTTCCAACCAAATTACGAAAATATTATTAAAATATTAAAAATGAAATTTAATGATAGTCCACAAATTCAGAACCTGGTTTAGTAAAATAATAATACGTTGTGTGATTATAATTGAATAGACTGTGAATTTATGAGATTCCGGCGGCAGTATAAATAGACAATCTACTCCATTTTCAATACTCAACAACATAAGAAAAAGTAGGTAAGCAGGTGCTTTAAAATCTATCTAGTCAGTCACTAGTTGACGCAGTGAAAATAAAATTAACAAGCATATTTTCAATAAGATGATATATGGAATAAAATTTCACTCATGAAAAAAATCAAAAACGTTATTTAAAAGCACTCTATATCGGTTGAGATTATTGCATTAAAATTTCACATTTGGTTATGATTTGAAACATACAAGTAAATTTTGTCACCATATTTTGAATAAAATGATATATGGAATACTAAGCTTAATGGAACAACTTCATTCTTTTGAAGAAATACCAATTTCGTTCTTTAAAAGCATCTTTCATCAAACCAGGTGAGGCTATCATATAAAAATTTCAAACTTCAGATAAGGTTCAGATTTGATACGTAAAACCTTGTGTATACAATGTGACGTAGTTGCGTATACCAAACTGCTCACCAAACACCACATCTTCTTAATGAAATATAGAAAATTTCCACAGTTCAAACGGGTCAGAGACTTTACATCCGGGTTTAGTGTCAGTTTCCAACCAAATTACGAAAATATTATTATAATATTAAAAATGAAATTTAATAATATTCCACAAATTCAGAACCCGGTTTAGTAAAATAATAATACGTTGTGTGATTATAATTAAATTGACTATGAATTTACGAGATGCTAACAGTATAAATAGACACTCTACTCCATTTTCAATACTCAACAACATAAGAGTACTCCGTTAACGACCGACAGAATCACTCAAGAAAGGGCGAATCACAATTTTGCTAGAGTACTTATCGAAGTTGATGTGTCAAAGCCACCACCACTACTGTTTCCTATACGCTTACCTTCCCAAAAGGTTTTCAATCAACATGTGGTGTATGAAACTTTTCCTAATTACTGTTTTCATTGCAAAAAATATGGGCACCACCCATTTATTTGTAAGGAGCTAGCTGAAAAGGAACTAAAGGATAAAAATGAGAAAGAAAAGAACAAGGATGTTGGTAGTATAAAAGCTGCTGCACAGGATGCTTCGCAGGACAGTTCATGCCATATTGTTACCCGAGTGGAGGATAGAAGAGGGCAAACTGCCTGATGCTCAACTTGAGGAGGGGAAGATCTTGGAAGAACCTGGGAATTCTGCCGTTGATGAAGCCTATGTTGAGGTGGCTGCTACTTCGGTTGGCCATATTGACCCGGATACGGAAGAGAGATTGGATACTACTGATTCTGAAAACCAGTATGAGACTGAAGAGGAACCGGATCAGGAACATCATGTCAAGAAAGCCACCAAAAAAAGTAGGCGGAGAAAGGGTGAGACAAATGAGAAGTATAAAAGACGGCTTGGAAGAATGATTGGAAGGAAGATAAAATAGTTCTTGGATGGGGAAACTACGGCTCCCTTAGATGGACTGTACTTTTATTTAATAAGTGATTCGTGAAGTGGGGACTGTCCCATTATTTTGATGCATTATATCTTGGTTAGTTTATTCTAGCTTAGATAGTCTGGATTGATGCATTGTAAAATGCTATTTTTTCGGTTTCTAATATACTTACATATTATCGAAAAAAAACAACATAAGAAAAAGTAGGTAAAATCAAAATCATTCTTTAAAAGTATGTTTTGGCGTAGTGATGTAAAATTTTGACGCAGTGAAAATAAATTTTACAAGTATATTTTGAATAAGATGATATATGGAATAAGAATCACTCATGAAAAAAAATCAAAATCATTCTTTAAAAGCACCCTCTATCGGTTGAGATTATTGCATAAAAATTTCACATTTGGTTAAGATTTGAAACATACGAGTAAATTTCTTCACCATATTTTGAATAAAATGATATATGGAATACTAAGCTTAACAAAACAGGTAAACAACTTCATTCTTTTGAAGAAAAATCGATTTCATTCTTTCAAAGCGTCTATTATCAAACCAAGTGAGGCTATCATATAAAAATTTCAAATTGCAGCTATGGTTGAGATTTGATACCTATAACCTTGTGTGAATAATGTGACGTAGTTGTGTTTACAAAACTGCTCAACTAACACCACATCTTCTTAATGAAAATTTGAAAATCTCCGTAGTCCAAACGGGTCACAGACTTTACATTCGGTTTTATTCTCGATTTGCAACCAGATTACTGAAAAATCAAAATCGTTCCTTAGAAGAACCATTTATCGGCTGAGATTATTGCATAAAAATTTAACATTTGGTTAAGATTTGAAACATAAGAGTAAATGTTTTTTAACATATTTTGAATAAAATGATAGTCCTTATGTCCTCGTATTTAAGTTCCCACTTTTCTTTTTTAAATGTCCCAAACGTACACGTTCACACTTCCTTATTTGGAAAACAAATCTACACTAAAGCGTGCAAAACAGTGCAACAATAGTGCCAAAACAGTGCACTCTACAGTAAAATTTGCCACTCAGTAAATTTATTTCCTTAATATGTGTGAAGGCAAACTCGGAACTTAAATACGGGACGGAGGAAGTATATGGAATACTAAGCTTAATGAAAAAACTTCATTCTAAAAAAAATAACGATTTCGTTCTTAAAAAGCATCTTTTATCAAACCGGGTGAGACTACCATATAAAAATTTCAAATTTTAAATAAGGTCGAGATTTGAAACGTACAACCCTGTGTGAACAACGTGACTTGGTTGCGTTTACCAAACTGCTCACCTAACAACACATCTTCTTAATAAAATTTAGAAAATCTCCACAGTCCAAACGGGTCAGAAACTTTACGTTTGATTTTACTCTCGGTTTGCAACTAGATTACGAACATATTATTAAAATATTAAAAATAAAATTTAATTATATTCCATAAATTCAGAACCTAGTATAGTAAAAAATAATACTGTGTGTGAATAGAATTAATTGACTGAATGTACGAGATTTTAACACTATAAATTGACCGTCTACTCACACAGTCACACACTCTACGGGTTTGTTTGCAAATGCTTGTGCTTAAATAAAAGCACTTTTTGGGAAAAAGTGATTAGTAGTAAAAGTTGGTAGTGTTTGGTAAAATTAGTGTTTTTTGTGTAATAGAAAAAGTAAAAAGTAGATTCTACACGAAAACCGAGAAAGTAAAAACTGGTAATGTTTGGGAAAATAAGTGTTTTCTTCTTGGAAAAAAACCACAATCACTTATTTTAAGTGATTGCCCTACGTCTCTACTCAGTCGAAGTAGGGCTCAGTAGTTCAGAAAATCCCTCTGTTTTGTGATTTCTCTTGAGGATCATGTACAAGAGCAAGCTCCAAGAATTATGTCATCAGTTGGGGTTGCGGCTGCCGGAATACACCGTCTCCAAAAAGGCTCCGATCACGACTCTAAATTTCAGGCAAAGGTCACCGTGAACGGAGTATCCTTTCATTCACTCCACCCCAGATAAGTGTAGAACTTGCAAGGAGGCTGAGAATTTGGCTGCTCATTTTGCTTTTGAATACTTCTCGAATAATCCTCCTGTTCCTTCCACCATAGATCCTTCGTTGACTGAAGCTCATTCTCATCCGGCCGCAGATCCCGGCGTTCTTCCTAAAGTCACATGTCAGTTAAATTTACTTCATTTTTTTTAATACTGTTTTGATCATTAGGATTATTATTTTAAATTTGGGGAAATTCTTATTATTAATTTATTATCAGGAGTGCTATTTACGGTTTTGTTGTCTTGTCAATACAGTTGAATATGCCGTTTTTGTTTTGTTTTTTAATAAACAAATACGAAGTATTTCATTTTCAACGTATTATATGAACAATCTCTTTACAGCTTCTCATCCGGATCCGGTGGGCTCACACCAGACTCACGAGTCACGATTCAGGTTACTTATTTTATTTTGAATCTATGAATATACAATTCTGTGTGAACAACTTGACCTGGTTGCGTTTACCAAACCGCTCACCTAACATCACATCTTCTTACTGAAATTTAGAAAATATCCGCAATTCAAACGGGTTAGAGACTTTACGTTCGGGTTTACTCTCGGTTTGCAACCTAATTACGAAAATATTATTGAAATATATATTAACAATGAAATTTAATGATATTCCACAAATTCAGAATGCGGTTTAGTAAAATAATAATACGTTGTGTGATTATAATTAAATTGACTGTGAATTTACGAGATTCTAACGGTATAAATTGACACTCTACTCCATTTTCAATACTCAACAACATAAGAAAAAGTAGGTAAGCAAGGGCTTTAAAATCTCTCTAGTCAGTCACTAGTTGATGCCGTGAAAAAAAAATTATCAGTATATTTTGAATAAGACGGTATATAGAATAAAAATTCAATCTTGAAAAAAATCAAAATTGTTCTTTAAAAGCACCCTTTATCGGTTGAGATTATTGCATAAAATTTTCACATTTGGTTAAGATTTGAAACATAGAGTAAATTTTTTCACCATATTTTGAATAAAATGATATGTGAAATATTAAGCTAAATCAAACAACTTCATTCTTTTGAAGAAAAATCGATTTCGTTCTTTAAAAGCATCTTTCATCAAACCAGGTGGGGATATCATATAAACCCTTCAAATTTCAGATAAGGTTGAGATTTGATACGTACAACTTTGTGTCAACAACGTGAAGTAGTTGCCTTTACCAAACTGCTCAAGTAACACGTACCACATCTAGATCTTCTTAATAAAAATTTTAAAATCTCCACAGTCCAAATGGGTCACAGACTTTACATTTGGATTTATTCTCGGTGTGCAACCAATTACCGAAAAATCAAAATTGTTCTTTAAAAGCACCATTCATCGGCTGAGATTATTGCATAAAATTTTCACATTTGGTCAAGATTTGAAACACACGAGTAATTTTTTCACCATATTTTGAATAAAATGACAGTTCCTCTGTCCCCGTATTTAAGTTCTCACTTTCTTTTTTGGATGTCCCAAACATACACGTTCAGACTTTCTTATGTGACAAACAAATCTACACCAAAGCGTGCAAAACAGTGCAAAAGCGTGCAAAACAGTACACTCTATAGTAAAATTTACCCTCAGTAAATTTATTTCCTTAATATGTGTGGAGTCAAACTGGGAACTTAAATACAGGACGGAAGGAGTATATGGAATACTAAGCTTAAAGAAAAAACGTCATTCTTAAAAAAACGATTTCGTTCTTTAAAAGCATCTTTTATCAAACCGGGTGAGACTATCATACAAAAATTTCAAATTTCAGATAAGGTCGAGATTTGAAACGTACAACCTTGTGTGAACAACGTGACCTGGTTACATTTACCAAACCACTCACCTAACAACACATCTTCTTAATGAAATTTAGAAAATCTCCGCAGTCCACGTTCGGGTTTACTCTCGGATTGCAACCAAATTACAAAAATATTATTCCAATATTAACAATGAAATTTAATGATATTCCACAAATTCAGAACGCGGTTTAGTAAAATAATAATACGTTCTGTGAGTATAAATTGACTATGAATTTACGAGTATTCTAACAGTATAAATAACAACCATGCTAGGAGTACGCAAGTTATACACAATTTGTACACAAAATGTCGGACACAGACAATTGATACGTAATTGTCTGTGGGCACAGACAAGAGTCGTCTGTGTACACATGCAACTTTTGTCTGTGTCCACAGACATTTACTTTTTTGTAAAAAGTACACTGACAGTCGCTTGACACTGACACCAGCTTACAAATTAATCAATAAATGTGCAGTGCCTGTGTGCACAAACAATATTTTCATGTTATATAGACAATATTTACCTCATAGACAATACTTGTGCGTTCTACAGACAATAGTTGTCTGTGTGATCAACTTTAATTGTCGGTGTGATCAATTTCAATTGTCTGGGTGAACGAAAAATTTAATTATCTATATACTACTGTATATCCAAATAGAGCCAAAGATTCATTATTTTTTGGCTTGAAAATATGATGGAATAAAGCAAAATGGCTCACTAAACTGTCTGTGTTTCTTTGTTATGAAGCAACAGTCAGTCCATGCATTTTTAGACGCGATTTTCACAAGGGTAAGAATGCGTACATCCGACCCCCCTTACCCCACCGTAGGTGGGAGCCTTTGCGGCACTGGGGTAAATCAGTAAATGAAAAAAAAATCCAAAAGAATGATGCAGTTGTATGTGTGATTAATTTACATTTAATCTGAAAAAAATGAAAAATAATAAAAATTGATGAAATAAAATGAATAAGTTGATTTTGTGCAAATAATGAAAAAACAATTGATATTAAAAGGTAGAGAAAAAGAGTTTGAAGAAGGGAAGATGAAGATGAAGAAGAGAAGATGATCTCTCATTTTTGTGAGATATTCAAATGGGTTGGATAAAGAGGAAAGAGAGAAGGGGAGGGGGAAAAGAGAATGCAGAGAGGAAAGAAGGAAATGAATTATTTTTTTTGAACCTTTTATATGGTGTGCCTTTACCATTTTCCTATAAATAAACACCTACTCCATTTTCAATCCACAAGACCTCAACAACAAAAGAGAAAGCAGGTAAGCAGTGTTTTTTTTTTTTTGTGATTTCTCTTCAGGAATATGTATAAGAGCAAGCTCCAGGAATTATGTCACCGGTTGGGGTTGCCGCTGCCGGAATATACCGTCACGAGAAAAGGTCCCGATCACGACTCTAAATTTCAGGCACAGGTCACCGTGAACGGAGTATCCTTTCACTCCACCCCAGATAAGTGTAAAACTTGCAAGGAGGCTGAGAATTTGGCTGCTCATTTTGCTTTTGAATACTTCTCGCATAATCCTCCTGTTCCTTCCACCATAGATCCTTCGTTGACTGAAGCTCATTCTCATCCGGCCGCAGATCCCGGCGTTCTTCCTAAAGTCACATGTCAGTTAATTTTACTTCAATTTTTTAAATTTTGTTATTATTATTAGGATTATTTTATATTTGGGGAAATTCTTATTGTTATTTCATTATCAGGAGTGCTATTTACGGTGTTATTGACTTTTTAATTGTTGTCTTGTCAATGCTGTTGAATATGACATTGGTTTGTTTTTAAAAACCTTTTCTGTTTTTTAATAATAAAAAAATATTTCACTTTCCACGTATATGAACAATTTCTTTACAGCTTCTCATCCGGATCCGGTAGGCTCACACGAGACTCACGATTCAGGTTACTTCTTTTACTTTTCTATGAATATACACAGACCCGGAGTAAAATTTATTGTGTGAATTATACAAGTATTGTTTTGATTATTACAGATTACAGTAATATTATAAATTTGGTGAAAAACTTCTTCTGTTTCAGATCCGCTGGCTGGCCCTCAACCTGTGATGGGGGATGATCCTTCATTTCCGTCCAAAATCTCTGCAGGTTTTTAAAATTTTATTTTTACTCGATATTCAAACTGAAGAATTACTTTACATGTGCTATATAATTTCAAATGCGAATAATTTGAAATTAATCAAATTATTATTCATAGTTTCATCTGTTTCATCTCAGCTGAAAATCTCTGAAGATCACTTTGATAAATATATTTAATAGACTGGTTTAAGATCAACTTTATATGTGCCGTTTTTATTTTACCTTTACTAGATTTTTCTCAATTATGCATTGAAAAGCATGTGAGTGTTGCAGGGGCGTACAAGCCAAAATTGTTAGAGCTATGTCGTAAGTACAGATGGAAACAGCCCGAGTACAAGACAGCAAAGGAAGGTCCAGATCACATGCCTCGATTTGCTGCCACAGTGGTTGTCAATGATGTTGCATACGTCACTCCACATCAGTGCCGATCATCGAAAGAAGCAACAAACCTTGCCGCTTGTGTTGCCTTCAACCAATTAGCAAGGCTCGGCTTTTCATCAACTGCAGGTTATCTTTCATTCATTAATTATATTTTTCACAACAAAAACATCCCAAGTAAGCGCAGATGGAGGATAGGGGGATATGTTAATGGTTAACAAATATGTCAATAGTGATCATCAATTACATTATGTATTATTTTTGGTGGAAGAATGACACAACAGGGAAAAAGATATGGGAGACGTCAGTTTATAAACATGTAAAATTGAATCCCATGTAGCGACAATACTTCTAATTCCATTTAATAATTAATTCAAAATTGTTAAGAATTATAAAACTTACCCCATTCATTCAAAAATAGTCATGGGAGAGAAAACAAATCCTCAAGTTTAATTTAAATTTATAAATATCTAGTGCATAAAGACATTCACATATATTTTGTATCACAATTTTTATGGGATAATTGATAAAGTCAAATTTGTATCATGAAGTCATATTTTTTTGTGCATGATTATTCAAAGAAGACCACAACCAAGCACCTGGTCTGAATGTAATAAACCCATTGGGTGGTGACTAGGATGGGACTCTAGAGGTCTTTTTTTCTTCACCTACCTACCTCCACCTCTATCTTATAGTAGTTCTGAAGTACTTAGTAGGGGTCCTTTGAGGCTTTGAGCTTTGTGTTGGAGGCTTTGGCTTTGGCTTAAGGGTCTTCACAAATGAATTTTCACGACAAACACTCATTAACCTGATCCACATTTTTTTAAGACACTAATAAATAATAAGTAATAAGAGACCCAACTCATCCAAGTGCATGATAAATTAATAATATGAAGAGTTTAAACTTTACATTATAAATGCATTGGATGTGTTATCTTTCGTAAATATGGAGTGGTCATTTGCTAGAATATGGATGGCTGCATAGAGAGTGGTTAGAGTTCTAGAATTACTAGAAAGTTTACTTCTGGATTCTTAGGTTTAATTGTCAATTACTTGAAGATGTATATACTACCTACTTGGCTAATTCACATCTTTCACATTTAATGATTTCAAAAAACAGCAAATTTTAGATTATAGATTTTCGAATTAAATGCTATCCAAGCTGAATTGTGAAGCATATACCTAAGGAGTATTAGTTTGCAGTTTTGACTTCTGACTATCTGTTTTGGGGTTGTATGTAATCTGAGTCTCCGACACATTTCTTTTTTAAGTGATAGCTCTCTTAAATTGTTGAAACTTTTTCAATGAACTAACCTATTTCAGAAATGAAAACTATGTGGAGGTTAGAGTTCTAGAATCACTAGAACGTTCACTTCTTTTAGGTTCTTAGATTTAACTAAATTACTTGAACATGTAATTATTACCTAATCCACATCTTTCACATTTAATTATTTAAGAAATGGAAAATTTAAGAGTATTGATATTTGAGTTAAATGCTATTCAAGCCGAATTGTGAGCATATGCCTAAGAAGTACTCCCTCCGTCCCAATTTGTAAGATACATTACGGTTTACGATGTTTGACTGACGATAAAGCAAATTGATCTCTGTCAACACTCAAATTAGTTTTAGAAAATAAAATTTACATATTCAGAAACTACATTAAAACCGCTACAAAACCTGCAAAAAATAATTCAAATTTCATAAACTTTTGATCTATAAAATAAAAGATTAAGAGTAATTTGTGTTGACCAAGTGAATAGTAAATGTATCATACAATTTGGGATACAATTTGGGACTGAGGGAGTACAAGTTTTGTAGTCTTGACTTCTGACTGATCTGGTATAGTTGTACATAATCCGACACATTTCTTTTTCAAGTGAGATCTCTCTACCCAGCTATTTCAGTAATTAAAACTATATCGAGTAGTTAAAGTTGTAGAATCAATTGAGCTTTTACTTCTAGACTTTTAGATTTAACTGTAAAATTCTTGAACATTTGAGTACTACCTAAACCAGTTAAATTCACATCTTTCACATTTAATGATTCATACAGTAGCAATACTAGAGTATACACATTTGAATTAAATGCTATCTAAGCTGAACTGTGTGTATATACCTAAGTATTGCAAGTTTTGTAGTTTTGACTTCTGACTGATCTGGTATGGGTTGTACGTAATCTGACACATGCTGCTTTTAAGTGAGAGCTATCTGCCCATCAATTCGTTGATGTTTTCTCAATGAACTGACCTATTTGAGAAATTAAATTTATGATCAGTTGTGAACTGCCAGCTAACCAGGCATGGACGTAAGTAGTGCCTCCTGCCTGAGGCTCTGGTAGTACAGTTGTGTCTTATTTAGTGTGCCCAAATGTGCAGTTGTGTGTTATGAACCTTCTGAAACTGTGGTCTGTGTATATAATATCCATGAGCAGCTGAGCACCATTATGGATAATATTGGTTCTAAAACATCTTGGTCCACAAGTTTTGTGGTTATTTTGTGAAGAAAATGACCGGTTCTGACTTCTGAACCTATTGCTTCCAACTTGGGACTTGTTCCTGAACAGCAGTTGTCTATATAGTAATATACTATGTGTCATCGTTATCACTTTTGGAATTATAATCATGTTTATCCTTCTAAACATCTTGGTGGCTTGGAGTCCAAGTTTTATCTACCATAGTATTTTGATAAACATTTATTGGAACCTTATATGTACATTGTTTGCTGAGGTTCGTTTATAGCTTCGTTTTAATATCGCAGATCATATTGATATCAAAGTGCATCAAAACAATGAAAGGAATGCACAACCATCAGATATCAGATCAACATCATTGGCTAGTAGAGAGCCTTCCAACTCTTCAGGTTTGTTTTCCAAACATTTGCAAGCAATTTAATTAGTGACCATATGCTTAAATGGAGATATACATTTCCTTGAACTGAGGTTTTGTCACATATTTTCTTGAATATTGAAAGTAAAGACTAAAAACATGTATACTTCCTCTCTGTAATATAAAATATCCCCCCATTGAGTAATAGGTTTCCACTGTTTCTCCTTTGCTTTCTTAGAGGTGCTACATGTGTACAAGAACCAGCTACAACAGTATGCTCAAAAGCAAGGGCTACCTCTTCCTCAGTATTCTTGTGAAACTGAAGGACCACCTCATGATCGTCGATTTAGATCAAGGGTGGCTTTTTCTGGAAAGTTTTATGAATGTCAACAATTTTTCACTACGCTAAAAGAAGCCGAACAAGCGGCGGCAAAGGTTGCAGTTGAGGCGATATGCCCCGATGAAATTCAGAAGGTATTTTCCTAGCTTATTTTTATATCAAATACGAAGTAATATTCTCCATGTTATGTTATCTGCTTTAGTTATTGTTTTCACAATTCTGTTATTATACACAGTACTTAGTGCCATTTCAAATGTACTTATGTATCTTAGGGAGGAGGTCTATTCAAGACCCTTTTACAAGAGCTTGCACAAAAACTTGGGTTTCTTTTTCCGACCTATAAAACAGTTCAGAGTGGTCCACCACACGATACTACTTTTAGCTCCGTTGTGCAAATTGATGAGGAATCATATCAAGGACAACCAGCTAAGACTAAGAAGCAAGCTGAATTGAATGCTGCCGAGATTGCCTACAATACCTTGATCAATTGTAAGATCAGTTTGTGTTTTAATTTATGCATCACTGGTCACTTTTTAAATTTTGTTCAAATAGTAGTTACTCTTTGATTCCTAGACTGAGGGTCTTCTCTCAGACATACAATACACTCCACTGGCAAAAAACAAAAACAAAAAACAGAAATACAAGTAGTCTGTCAGGCATACATACATATACTGCATTTGTCGATCAAAGCACTCATGGTTCTCCCTTTCTATGCATAGGTTCGGATAAATGTACAAAGAGGCAGAAAACTTCGACCATACCTGGCACACATATTCCGCATCCGCCATCCACTCATAATTTCTCTTTATGTCAATAGGTGCAGATGTCGTCAATTTAAAGGTGAAGCAAACATCGGCTACACCACATCCTCTCTCACTCAGCAATCAATGTTTTGTTCCAACACCGCCCGAGCGTTTTGCTGTTTCTGTTTTACCGTCTAATCAAATTAAGAGTTCAACAATGGAGTCTAATGTCAAGCAAACTGATAAGTTTTTTGTTTCACAGTCTCATTCAAGTTCTGCCGTTGTTTCTGGCCATGCTCCTGTTTTGCCTTGTTATGTTCAAGATTTACATGATAGACCATCGTCCAGTCCATTGACAGTCCCGCATTTAAGTAGTTCCATTGAGATGTTTAGTTCCATTGACAGAGCAGCTTCTGTGAGTAACATGGTTTTGGTCTACCCGCGTGGTTCAGAAGCGGTACTCCCTGTTGACGCTTCCATGTTATCATGCAGTGATGACAAATGGGTGGCAGTTCAAGTAGACCTGGATGTTAATTAAGGGTACACTTGTATCTATTGCAGCATATTGTGCTCTTATATGGATGTTTCCTAAGCAATGTTGTTTGTGTCTTTTCATGTATTGGATATTGTGTCTTTTCACTAAATACCGTTCATGTTTTTTTATATGTAGTGATTGATAGTCTCATAGTCATGCTTTGTTTAGGTTATTTACTAATTTAAGTTTTCATGTTATGGAAATTTTCTTCAGGATTTGAGAGTTATATCTGTCTATTTGACTACTTCAGGAAGTTTTTTCATGTTATGGAAATTTAAGTCTCATAGTCAAGCTATATTTGTCTATTTGAGAGTTGTATTTGGAGGGGATCAGGATGTGAGGAGAACGGAAGGTTTATGAGCCTCTTTGGTTACTAACACAAATAAGGGATGGACTGGTTCTGGGCCAACCGGCCCGTGGCCCGGCCCGGCCCGGTACTGTTTGTACCTGGCCCGGCTCGGCAACCGGTCATAGGACCGGTACGGGTGGCCCGAACCGGTGGTTACTTGAGGTGGGCTCGGGCCTGCTAAAATCGGAACGGGCCGGACCCGGTCCGGGCCTTTTTTGTTTTTTTTTGGGTTTTTTCAATTTTTTTTGTTTTTCCCGGGTTGGGTTGGGTTGGGTGTTTGGGGGGGGGGGGGGGGGGGGGGTAATTTGAAAAGCAAAAAATAAAAATGAACCGGCCCGGAACCGCTGGCTACCCGGCAGGCCTCACTTCCCCAAAAAAAAAACCGGTCAGGCCCGGCCCGGAACCGGTCCACCAAATTGTAATGTTCAAATGAGACCAAGTTTAATTTTGTTCTCTCTCCCTTCCCATCCTTCTAAATCTTTCTCTTATCCCCTCTTAAAATCTTTCTCTTATCCTCTCAAACTCAAAGAAAGATTAAAAATGTTTTTACTTAGATTTGTTTCAGATTAGACTTAAGAGACTAGATCGGACTAAACAAGGCAAGACCTCGACAGTTATAAAATAAAAATAGATCAGACATCTACGAGGTCAGATTTAAACAGGCTCGACTTGATCATTTTAGACTAGAAAATTCTAATCCAATTAAAAACATCCTTAATTTACAATTATATATTACATTTCTTGTAATACATTCTTAGCAACTACCGTAATACATTTAACAACTCTAGTTTTGTTCGTTTATTTCTTTCTAAATAAAAAGAGTTTTATTTTGTTTTCATTATACATACCTTTAACTTCTGTCCATATTTTGTTACCTTTAGCCGTCGATTATTCAAAAACTATATTCTCTTCGTCCCATTTTGTAAGATACACTTTCCTTTTCGAGTTATCCAAAAAATATGATCACTTTCTTAATTATTAATAAGAAAGATATTATGATCGCTTTCCTTTCATCATACGATAGTATATTGATATTATCATCTCTTACAAAACTCCACTTGGAAGATAATTCGAGGACGGAGTACTATTATTTTAGAATTGGGATAAGGGTCAGATAGGGCCTCGAACTTGAAAAAAAATGTCAAATAAGATCATATTTAGGATGCTCTGTCTGGCCGACACCATTTGGGGTGCTTCCCGATGGAATTTTTTTTTTGAGCATCTTCCTCATTAAGTCTAGTTTACCCATACCAAATTTCAGCTAAAAATTCAACTGGGAAGGCAGTCAAATGATTTTTTGAAGATAACTGTGAAGTTAAACAACGCAGTACGTTTCGGAAAATCATTTGACTACCTTCCCGGTTGAATTTTTAGCTGAAATTTGGTATGGGTAAACTAGACTTAATAAGGAAGATGCTCAAAAAATTTCATCAAAAAATTCCATCGGGAACCGCCCCAAATGGTGTCGGCCAGACAGAGCATCCTAAATATGACCTTATTTGACATTTTTTTTCAAGTTCGAGGCCCTATCTGACCCTTTAGAATTCTTTTGAAATTGAAGATTACAATAACATTGAGCACAGTTCATTTAGATAGAGAGCTCTCGTTCTCTCTCTAGAAAGCGGAAGAGAACGCCTTCGTGCGTTAGGGTTTTGAAACCGCCCTTGGTCGTCGGCTAGAGTTTGGAGCCGCGCAAAGTCGTTGGCGTCAAGATTTTGTTTAGCTTTTTCAGCGACAGAGCAGCGGGAAAATGGAAGGCAACACAACAGGTGAGATGCAAACCTTGGCTGACGAAATCAAGGGCAGTTCTGCTCCAATCATAATGAACGGCGATGCAAGAGACATGATGAGGTCAGAGACAGGAAATCATGACGAGATGAACAAAGAAGACGAAATATTGACGATCCGCCCCCTCTTGAAGCACCACTTTGGAGTGACCAAAGAGCCAGGGATCGGAGACCGACGATTCACGGTGAGACTTGGTCACATGCACTCTTGTGCTCTATCTTTCGTTCAAGTTTTATTTTTTGCTATCTCATACTTTTTTATTTGATTAATAATCGGGGGTTGTGGGTGTTTTTTGTGGTGAGATTGAGTTGAAGCAATCAAGCAATTCTGGTCGATAATAGATTCGAAGCTCTCACAGTAGTCTCACATGTTCGGTGATTAGATGAAAGATTTGGATATTGATGATGTTGAAGTGTTTGATTTTATGAGTTTAATATAAGCTTTTTCCTTTCAAAAAAATAACACAGAGCATAGTTTTTAAAATCACAAGTTTCAAAATTTATATGGAGTGAATTTCATCCAAAACTAATAAACAATTATTACCTGAAAAAAACGATTATTGTTTGTTTATGTTATTTATCACGGTAAACAGATACATAATTAGGATTAGGATTTTGAACTTTGTAATTTGTGAAAAGTGACCTTTATCTAGTCATGGACCCGGGCCGGGCCGGGTCCGGCTGGGCTTTTTTGGGAAGGAAGGCCCGGGACCGGCCCAGGTAGCCACCGGGTCCGGGCCGGGCCTCCGGTTTGGTTATATATATTTTTTTGCTTTCCTAATCCCCCCCCCTCACCCCCCACCCCCCAAAACCCTCCTAACCATCAAGTCCAACCCGGGTGGAACCCCAAAAAAAATCAATTCGGCCCGAGACCGGGCCCGGCCCGACCGGGCCGGTTCGCCAAATATAAGACCCGAGCCCGGACCCCCCCCCCCCCACCGGGCCTAGGCCCGACCCGGACCCAGGAACCGGGCCGGTCCCGGTCCCGCACAGTAGCGGGCCGGGCCAGTCCACTGGCCGGGCGGCCCGAACGGCCGAACCTGGGTCCAAGACTACCTTTATCACTTTTTTGTGATTTACAAAATTCCTACATATAATCGCTCACTACACTTAATGTCGAACACATTTCCTAGAGAATTAGGATGTTTTTACTTGGGCTTATTTCAATCTCAAATCAGATCAGACCAAAGTCACCAAACCATATCAGACCTCTACCATGGTAAATCACACGGAGACCTTGGCGCTCTACATGAAAAGGGTCTTTTCATATTTCAATCAACAACATAACTAATTTTACATGTTGAGCTATGATAATTCTGACATTTTCAATAATTATAATTATAATTATAATTAACAATTAACAATAATGATATAATGACAATAAAAGCATATACAACATCCCACAATTCATAGAGAGGCATATCTAACCCTATTTGAAGGTTTGGTAACCAACATAACTAGAAATTCTCTGTAGTCACCAGGAGGAATACTTCCACAAATAGCATCCTTTAACTCCAAATCATATTTATCCTTGAACACCATTTGAATCTTGTCCAAGTCCACCTCAGACCTGGTTACTATAATTCTCACCAAATCTCCTTTGCCCACTCTTTTTCCCTTTAGACATGCATGCATCACCTGAAGATTAAGCAATCTTTGTTAATAAATCGCCATTGGCACCGGTATCATTTTTCATTTTCATAAACACCCAAGGCATGAGAGACAATAAGAAATTGTTGTCACAACAAATAAACATTAATATTGGAACATTTTATTTATAAACAATATTAGAATATGTTGTAAAATTTTAAATGTACTAAAAAATATCAATCATGAAATACAAATCACCATTTGAAAGTTAATTATAGATAACTTGCATGATAAGGAGTTTAATAAGAAACACCAATCCTCAAATAATAGGATAGAACTAAGAGAGAGAAATGTGGTCACGCCACTAATAGGAAGACTGGGAGACAAATGTGCATGAGGTGCAACAAAGAACAACAAAGAACAGAGTCGTAAAATATGACTTATTGTAAGAAGGATAACTTTGGTTCATTTTGATGCAAACATTTTCCAATTTTTAAATCCTCTAATTGTGAAGGATGGGTTAGTACTTAGTACTGTTTTCCACATTTTTTGAAGACACCCACATTACCTATTTGTAATCCCAAAATAATCTAAATCTTCGTGATTTACAACAAGCGCAATATTATTTTTAAAATAAATCTAAGACAAGTAAACTATAATTTTTCTTGACCATTATCTCCAAATATTGCTTTTTTTAGTGGGACCCGTAACTTTTCATTAGCACTTTCTAAAACAATCCAAACTCAAAACTTGGGACCTAATTAAAATGTTTCTAACTAGTTACCAACAGACCATAACTTGGGACCTAATTATTACAATATATTCTCACCAAATGATCTACTCCTTCATCCATGACCCAACAAGATATTTCACTTCAACCACTTCATCTACTAATGGTATAGGGACGTGAATACTCTTATGTAGTTATGTGTGTTTAACAGGCAACAAAAATGCAAGGCAAGGAGTTAACTGTACAAGGCAATGAAGGCATAGTCAAATGCATGTTATAAATCACCTGTGAGAAATACTTTGAGGGGCTATATATGCACTTCACTGTAATGATCAATGCATCTTCAAACTCTCCCAATCTTCCATGCTTGAGAGACTGAAACATAATTAAGAAACCAAGCTAAACAAACTATCAAAACTACTATCACTATAAGGATGTTTATGATCAGCTTAAAGAAGTAATATTTGTTTCTAAAATCAAGCTAAATATATGAAAAATTATGATGTATGATGAGGGAGGATTACATACAATTGTTGAAAATTAACTTATGAGCATCCGGTTTGAGTATCTTCAAGATACGAGATAAGGGTAATATGACTATATGATTAATGTAAGACTCTCATGTACATTTGGCGGGGAAACACAACCCCCAAGGAGGGATCCCAACTACATTAGTTTCCTAGGCAATGTGAGGTTAACTTGGTCCTTAAACTATTTCTACTTTGCCTCTAACAACTAAATCATTAATTATACATATTAGAACATATGAGTCAAAAGACTTCATATAATCTAACATTAAATTGCGGTAGGTGATCACGATATTAACTATTCTATTCTTACTCTTCGTCAACCAAACAATCTTGATAGTTCTATTCATGTTTGGAGTGACTAAGTGACACTTAAATTTTCTTTCATTTTAAGAATGTAGGTAAATTTGGAAGAGAATGAAGTACTTCTTTGATAGTTAAAAGAATTGGACGAATCAAAATGAAATAAATGAACTGACTCTGGTATAAGTGTGGCCATAAATGTGCTTATAGCAAGAAAATGTGAGCTTCAGTTGTGGAACACTTCTCTTGCTCAAAATCTCCAGCACAACTGCTTCATCAATGGCCCCCCCTGACTTTCCCTCCCCTGTTTGGTACAGCCTCATAGCATCACATTTGGCTGTGTGTTGGCTAACATCACAATCATGTGCTTTGTGTGATGCAGACAAAGCCATCAATATCTACCAACAACAAAAAGACAGAGAATGTTATTATTATTTATTTATTAACTATTCAAGTTTACTTTTATATTTAAAGTTATTAGTATCTCCCTATTTATTTAGTTGCCACATATTTTTAGAAATATTTTATTAATTACAACATTTTACTATCTTGATAAGTTTTTTCATTTAAAACGAGGTTTCTTAAAACTTATGGAGAAAATGCGACTAAAGTTACTATAAGTATATCTCAAGTTCACTACAATGTGAATTTAAACATACTAAAATTCATATTATTGTCACTAAAGTATAAAAAGTCACACTTTTATTCATTACAATAATTTCTGTCATATATGGGTCATTGTTTCTCTAAAAAAGCCTAAAAACTACTCTGTATGTTCTAGTTTTTTCATCTTTTATCTTGCTTTTTAGCCTTTCATCTCCTACTTTTTACATCTACCACAAAATATTCCATGCCCACTATTTCACTCATATAATCGATGAAAAACTATAGTTGCAACTAAATAAATAAATGCTACTAGTATGAGAGTATTTAATGAAAATTATATGTTCTGAATAGAATAGCGTAGCTAAGGGGTCAACCTAGGCCCCGAGCTATTTAAGCCAAAAAAAAAAAAACAATTTTGCTTCAATAGTAATTTAAGCAAAATTACAATTTTGATTAAATTATTAAGACAAAAAAATGAATAAAAAAATTTCAAAAAGAATCTTTGTGTGGGTCCGCTATAAACCTACCTGTATCTACCACTGATTCTGATCAGTTTCAATTTCTGGAGCTTTTTTAACTATATGGGGAGTATTTATTTATTTATTTATTTATTTATTTATTTATTTATTTATTTATTTATTCCACAGTGAACTAACCTTTTGGAAGGATGGTGAATCAATGCAGCAAATGTCATTATCTAAACGCGTTGAGAATTTTGCTTTATAAGCCCGTTGTATGAGCTGAACGTGACTGGATTTCCGGCAAGTGAAGATTTCAACAAGCGCCCTGAAATTGAAGCCATCCGGCCGGAGCGCCTCCCGGGCCAAGGCGGCGTCGCGCTCGTAGGGGCTGAGCAGGGCCATGGCCAGAGCTTCGCTCGCCGTCGTCGTTTCGGGTAGCTTTTCGGTGCCCGTGATCCGACCAAGGGTCTGGAGAGAATGGGCCGGGTCCTCCCCGTACACTTGCTTGTACTGCTGCCTGATTCTCTCGCACTCGACCCGACTCGGGGCATTTAGACCGGCGAGAACTTGAATTAGCAGGCTGAGCTGGTTGTGAACCAGAGAGTTGCGAATCTGTTCGCAGAGGTTTTCGTAGTTTCTGGTTGAGAATGCTTCAATGGAAGAAGGAGAGGGGGGGTCGGAAGCCATGTCAGGAAAGCTCAAAATAGTCTGTTGGATTTTAGGAAGTGAAGTGGTCTTATACATCTTCTTATACTGCATATTACTTCCTCCTAAATTATTCCAAGGAGTACTTGCTACGATAGTACGAGTATATTTTTAGGAAATTGTCTATTTAAATTGGTGCAAAAATGTTTTTGTATTTATGATTTAATGTATTCATAATATGATTTTGAGATTTTCATTTCCTAAATTGGATGATTATTTGTTGTTTTGATTATTTTTAAGCGTGACCGTAATTACTCATATTTGAACGATAAAAAGTTAAAAACATTACATTACTATTTTAAATATGCCAGCATGACTACTAAGGGGATTTTCTCTAGATTTTAATGTGTACTTTTATAGTCATCATAAATTTTCCTTTCTCAATTTGATTTGATTTTGATTTGATATGTTTAAAAGGAAAGCAAAATTAGGTGTTTAGTATTTTAATGTTTATGAGAAAAAAATACAAAATGGATTCGTGTGTAGATAAAATGAGACATACTATCTCCGTCCCGAAAAGAAGTTATGACTTTCTTTTTATGAATGTCTCAAAAAAAAGTTCTCATTTTTATAAAAGGAAACATTTTTATCACAAGAGTCACAGTTACTCTTAGTTTTTTACCCATTTTTTGCTTGATTTGAAATAAAGTGAAAGTAATATTAGAAAGTCAAAACAAAACTCTACCTTACATAAATATGTGTAAGTCAAACCGAGAACTTCATTTCGGGACGGAGTGAGTGTATTTTCCGTGAAAAAATTCACAAACAAAAAAAAAACTTTCACAAACATGAGTATAAATAAGAGTGAGTATAAGGACAAGTACAAACATCATTTTTGTTTTTTAAAAGTACTACACATATACGATAGTATTAGGTACTTCGTATATCGTAGTATTGTTTTTCCTTTTTCACAAATAAGAATCTATCAAACAATTTTTATTTAATATCGTATCCTATGAAAGCAGACCTTTAGTTGGAAAGATGAGATTGACATAGGAAGCAATAAGCATCTACACTTACAAACTTTTCAAAGTAAATAAAACAATCGAATGAATTAAAAACCAAAAGCCAGACCAAATGAACATGATTTTCTTCCATCTTTCTTGCTAATATTCATTTTTGTGACTAAACGGGTCTCGCGGAAGCATTGATGCTCCCTATATTTCTTTTCCATTTTTACCTTTTGTCTTCTTGTTTGCCATGTCTTTCTAATTCCTTTTACTCCATCTTTCACCCCAAAGAGAATCATTTTTTGTGGTTGTATCAAATTCTTACCATATTGAAATTCAATTATTTGAGTTTTATAGAGCTTGTAATATACTACGTAGTCTCTACACATTTATATTTGATATACTCCGTATGAATGTAAGTTTAATAATTGCCTAATAAAGATGTGTTTACTTACATTGTTTCAAGTGATAGATCAGAACAGATTAGACTTCGACAATTATAAAATTCAAAGAGACAAAACATTTGTCAAAACAGAACAGATCAATCATAATAAACCAGACCAAACATGATCAGAAAATTTCAATTCAGTTAAAAACATCGGCAGATTCATTTTATCTTCAAATTAAATGTTGTAAAAACTAAAAACCAAGTGCTAAACCATTCTGACAAAAGTACTTAATACGATAGTATGACAAAAGGACTCCAGAGTAACTGAGTAATCCAGTTGGACAACACATTTTGATTATATGACCACTTGTTTTTATTTTTTAGGGAACACAATGAGTGGTGCCCAAGAACAATTGGTCAACCCGTTGAACACTTGGACCCATCTAATACGAAATTGAAGAGGAAACTTCTGCTGAGATGAAAGTCAGCAAAATACAAATCAAGAGGGAAAATGCTACTCCGTATATAAGGATATGCTCTTGAATAATTTTTTCATTTAACTTGATTTGCTTATCAAAATATGATGTTGAAAAATGTGTTTCTTGTAATTTTGTTTTTAAATGGGGCCAAAAATTAATGTTAAATGTTTTTACATGGACTTGTCTTAGTCCTAGCAGAATAAATTAAACTTAAACGGATCAAAACACAATAGACCCAACTTTAATAGACTACACCAGACTTAGACGGATCAAAACACTAGTAAAATACACATAGATTACATATTTACTAGACCATAATATACTTAAGCAGAACACATCAGATTAAGAGGCGGTTTGGTAACACTGAAATTGGCTGATTCTGCTGAAATTTATGAAGTTCTGGCTGTATTGGCTGATTATGCTTATTTATGAAGAAACTATATTTAAAATATTTGTTATTAATAAATCAAATAAAAAATTATATGAAAAAATAGCTAAAATGATCACCTACAATAACTTAGCCAATACAGCCAAAAAAGTAACTTCAACCTTATTTTTCTTATTATTACACAATTCAGCGTGCGAGAATAAAAGTTACATGTTTGGTGAAAAATCAGGCTGATAAGCTTGATGAGTCAAAAAAAGTTGTCACCAAATGGGCTGTAGATCAAACTAGAAAATTCCAATCCAATTGATGATATAGAGAATCAATGACTTGGAAGGGAAGTAATATGGCCTCTTTCCAATATTGTTGGTGGTGTCGGCTGAAAGGAGCATGGGCGGTGACTTTGTCCGCAAGAACGAGAGTGAAAAAAAATGGCGAAGGAAATGAAAAGATGTAGAGAAATCGAGCACAGGATGACAACTAAGCTCATCGTGCAATGGGAGTCAGTAAGTGCACATCAAAAACTTTTGTTTCTTATTGAGAGCTTTGATGGTTGTCTACTAGATCCTGACTCTGATTCCTATAAAAAAAAAGTACAGTGAATTTGCTAGGTTGTAGGTTCCTTAATGGTTTAGAAAAGAAAGAGATAAAGAGTATGTTGTCATTTAGAACCGGTTTGATAAATTAATTAAATCGGTTCCTTATCGGTTTGATGAAGTTCTGACTATCTATGTAGCACCGATACCGGTACGCGGAAACGCGGAAACGCGGAAACGGGTACGGGGATACGTCAAAACCAAAAAAAGTAGGATACGGATACGGGGCCATATTTATAAATATTAAAAGTTATGGGGGTGTATTTACAAATATTAAAAGTTATAGGGGTCTATTTATAAATATTAAAAATAGATTTTTTTTAATATATATATATATATATATATATATATATATATATACATACATATAATATGCTATGATGTCTACCCATTCATTGCATTGAAACATTTTCCTTTTTCAAGATACTTAGTAATAAATTCATAATATTTCTCATATACACTAGTGTATCTCGAAATATAAATGTAGTCAATAAGTCATTAATTTAAAATGAGAAATAAGTCAAACAATTACAATCTTGAAATTAAAAGTGCAAGTACCCAATTCGGAGTATGAGTTAATGACTTAATTCGGATATAGCCATATAGGCCCATTATTTGATTACCAAGTAAAATGTAGTTTTAGATTTTCATTTTTTTAGAATTTTATTAAGTAAATTTTGGGATTTTTTTTTTTAAAAAAAAAGTTGATACGGGTATCCGTCAGGATACGAGTATCGGAAACTTTCAAAAAATTACAAAAAAAAGTGGAAACTTTTAAAAATTGCAGATACGGCCTGGGAACGTACGGTACGGGTATCCTAGAGTATCGGATACGGGAACGTATCGGATACGCCGATACGCTACCGTAGGGAAGTATCCGTGCTTCATAGCTGACTATAACGGCTAAACTGGTTGAATTTTTTGAATTATGAAAAAATTATTTTAAAATATATTTTATTAATAAAAAGAAAAAGGAAAAAGTATATTAAAAGCATCTAAGGCAATCTCCTACAATAACTCCAGTCAGTTCAGTCAGAAAAATAATTTGAACATTACTTATTTAGATTATCCTGCAATTCAGCATGCAAAATCAAACGGTGCTTCTCCGCGCACCTTTGTTTTTGCTAAGCGCACCCAATTTGACACGTTATTGGACAATTATGTCCTGGCGAGTTTAGATGGGTTTTAACTTTTAATCTTTTTGCAATTAGCCACGTTGTTCAATAACGTTTTGCTATCAAGGTGATCGAAGCACATTATTCCACTTAATTGTATTCCTGGTCTTTTACGTAGTAGAAGATATTCTTTTGTTTATAATTTAAGGTTTTTCAAAAATATTACTTATAATTTGCAACCAAAATTAAATTAAGATGAGGGAGTGACTGTACGTACATATGCATTTGAAAAGATATTGTAGCTCTATTTTAATCAACCTAATTATTATATTGTTTGAAAAGTGTTGTAGTAGATTGATATTATTATGCAAAGTAATAAATTTTTCAAATATAAAACTTTATTATACAAAATAATGAAAAAATCAAATTCCAATACAAAGTTTTTTTTTTCAAAATACAAATTGAGTATCTTTAATATTCAAACAAATTTGGTAGACAATGAAAAGAATGAAATAATTATAATCATAATAACATAAAAATTCCTTATATGTGTGTATCTATATACATATATATGGGTAGGGAATGAAGATAGGAACTTAGTTGTGGGATTTAGAATAGATTGTGAGCCCGTCGGATTACATTGAGATTGAATGAACCTGCTGAAATTGTGAAATTCTGTTTGAATTTGCTGAGATTGACATTGAGATTTAGAACAATGGAAAAGTCTAAAATACACATTTTAGTAAAAAATAAAGAAAGACATATATGAAAAAACAGTTAAAAACAGTCATCTAGAGTAACTTCAACAAAATTAGCCTGAAAGTAACTACAATTTTACTTATATTGATTATTATAGAATTCATCATGCAAAATTAAAAGTTATGTTTCGTGCAATAAATGGGTTGATAAGGATGATAAAATGAAATTATGGTTACCCAAAGGGATTTGTGATATATTTAGATTTAGATCTTCAAAATATTTTGACTTCTTATAACTATTATGCAATGCCCGTTAGGAAACTCTGAAACTAGATGAATCGATTGAATATGTAAAAAGTGATAAAATTCTGACCACAACGGTTGAATTAGTGAAATCGAATGAATTATAAAAAATGTTTATAAATCATATTATACTAATAAATAAATAAATAAAATTATTATTTTGAAAAAAATATTTTGATCATTAAAATCCCGTAAATGAATGTAAACGAACAGTACACAAATACTACGTATTTAAAATTTATTTAACAAAAAAGAACCTTGAAAAAGATTTGAAATTAAAAAAAAGGCCAAAAGAATGTGTGGCTTCATGCATCCTTTGTAGTTCGTACATTAATTAAGTAATTGAAAAAGGCTTCAATTTAGACTTGGGCCGCATCAGTTTAATGAGCAAGGTTTCATAAAGAAGGTTAAAAGCGTCATCGTGGGTTAGATTAAGCAATATTTGGGGTGCGCCAAGCAACCCCAAATCAAATGTTACGTGTTTGGTGACTGTTGGCTTATAAGACTGATAAACAGAAAATAGGGGTCACAAATGGACTCTACACCTGTTTGGTGACCTTATTTTTCGGCTTATCAATCTTTTTTAACGGACTTATCAGTCTTTTTTTAACAGACTTATCAGTTTTATTAACCAGCATTTTCCCAAAACACTTAACTTTAATTCCACGTGGTGAGTTGTGTAACACTCAAAATAAGTAGAGAAAAAGGTCAAATAAGATCTTCTACTATTATGAAACCGTCATATAAGATCATGTTGGGAAAATGTGTTAAAATTGCATTACATGGTAAAAAAACGAGCAGAATTTTGAGTGGATCCCGCTTCCGATTTGGATCGGGTCAAAGTAGTTTCGGACCCCCTTGCTAAGGGCTTCGATTCGGTATATGGCACACTCAAAACGGATAACGGGTGAATGAGAAATTGATTCTGGAATGTCACTCAGGAGAAAACTAGGAAAAGATGGGGATCCGTTCAGGATGAGCGAGAAGCTCTGGGCCTTCTCCCTACGGCGCCCCAACTTCTGCGAGGGGCGACGAGCACATCCAGGGAGGCAGAGTGATCGCTGGGAGTGCGATTTTGGAGGGCGACACCGTGGGATTTGCAATGGGCGCCATGGAGCTTAGCGAAGGGCGAGGCGTGACAGACTCCAATCTAGCAGGGACTTCGACTGGCAGAACGATTTTGCGAGGTGCTGTTGGAGAAGAAATCGAAAATTGGAGCCAGGTTTGATACGACGAACAACGGGCACCTCATCGCAGACCTGCTTCAGGGATGTTGGAATTCACAAAGACATGAGGCAAAAGGTTTTCCAGAAGAGACAATCAGGGGGGGAGTCTACTGAAGGTAAACATCGCCGACTGAAGCGTTTTCAATTTACCATTGAAAGTAAATCGTTCTAATTTGATATCGTTGGTTTCAATTACTTATGCATACCTGAGATGAAGCGGGGGGTTTTGTCAACAATTGATTTCGATCTGGAAAAGCTCAGATGGTTGAGAGATGCTTTGGTTAAAATTTTAAGGGATAAATGGGGTAGTCATAAACTAGAATTTGGAAATTCTCTAATTGTTCAAGTAGATTCTAATTGTTTCGGGGACTTTATTCGGATAATAGAGAAGAATTGTGACTCTCTTTTTGTTCCGGAGGGTCGAAAAGAAGTAGGGATTGAGAACTTTTTGATACGGTTATCGACATCAATCAAAATGACGAGTGCATCCGAACAGCGGACAATGCTACTTGCACAGGTATGGTGGTACCATCAGATATGGGTTATCCTCGACCCTGTTAAACAAAGTGGCTTACATACCATCAGAAGAAGAAGACTTCACGGTTGTTGTTTCCAAAAAATCCAAAAGGCGCAATGAATCAACACCTATGACTATTGAGACCATGCAGCAAGCGTGATTGCACAACATCAAACAACATACCCAATAGCGAACCCGACTCAACTACTCCAACACAGATTATTAATCATCTACACTCGTGTTTTCCTCATTAATTTTTTCTGTCTCTCCATTTACTTTCTACCTTCGGATGTTTTTACTTGGACTGTAATTTGTTGATATGGTTTGTCTGATCTGATCTGGTTTGATCTGGTCTTGTCTGGTTTCTTTGTATTTTTATAACTATCCAAGTCTGATCTGGTCTGGCCTGGTCTGGTTCGGTTTGGTCTAAGATAGATTACAGTCCAAGTAAAAACATCATTCATTAGCGTTTGTATTTTGTTTCTTTGCCCAATTCATCCGAGTAAGGTTGCCACCCTAGGAAAAGATGGGTTTCTAGTGGGACTTATCCTAGACTGGAAAAACAAAGGGATTTTCATCCCTTTATAAAGGTCTTCACGCGCAGGGGGTGCTAATCAAATCCCGAAAACCGTAAAGAAAAACCGTGATGCATGCGCGGGCAACCTGCGGACATGAATGTCATCCTCAAATTTATCTTACAAAGATAAGATTTAATTTTTGTTTCAACAGTCACCAGTAGCCTTTCAGTTTGCACGTATTTTTCAGCGAAAAAATGCCTCCAATTTTCTGAAAAATCTTTGTTGTCCTTGCTTAGTTTCCGTTTGCCGGAACAATCGATTGTGTGCTCATACGATTGTTCGTAACAACAGTATCCTGGGAAACTATCATTGCAACACTCTTACCACAGCGGGAGACAACAAATAGGTTTTGAGTGTTGCACAAGTTTTGACATCTTGTTTATATTTTCTTGGCTCTTTATTTATTTATTTATTTATTTATTTATTTATTTATTTATTTATTTATTTATTTATTTATTTATTTATTTATTTATTTATTTATTTATTTATTTATTTATTTATTTATTTATTTATTTATTTATTTATTTATTTATTTATTTATTTATTTATTTATTTATTTATTTATTTATTTATTTATTTATTTATTTATTTATTTATTTATTTATTTGTTTATTTATTTACTTATTTATTTATTTATTTATTTATTTATTTATTTATTTTCCGACTAAACACACCAATTCACCCTACAAGTCACATATTCAATAAAGTGTCACATAGATACATCTCTACAAACTAATAAGCATGAATGAGGGTAAGCCTATTTTAGGTATAAAAAATTCTTGGTGGTATTTGTAAGCTTAGTTCACATATTCACGGTGCTTAAAAATGTGCACATCTTTCATTCCGTTAACTTATTTCCCTTATTATGCAACCAACGTTTGTCTCCGTTAGTATGCCCACAACCACTCAAGCCGCATCATGACCGTCATCTACCATTCTATCTCTCAGTTCGTCTTTACCATTTCGCTTTTGTCGCACAACCCGAATCCCTCGCATGCCATGTGCCTCGCATTTGCTTAGGAGCTATATTTATTTTATTTCTGCCCGCAAATCGCTCCTCTGCAGTGGAAGTTATGGAAATGCAGAAGACACTCTCATCTTCACCCGGTCATATAAAACTATATTCTTCGATTGGCAAACTTTTCCCCTACCTATTGCTCACTCTTCTCCTATTATGTCTTTTGTCCATTTCCCCATATTATTGTTTGTGTTTGTATTCGCCTTCCTTTACTTAAATCAAAGTTGAAGTTGTTCAAACCAAAGCAATTCACTCCTAAATTACCCAATATTTGGGTGAAAACCTTACTTCCCAACCCGTTTCCCCTGTTTTTATGTTTTGGGAAAAAGGTATGGCAATTTAATGTCTAAATTGTTAATCGTAGATTGCCATTCACCAATTGTCTTGATGAACTTTTTTATGTCTTGATATACTTAGAAGTTGTTCCGTTCACCTGATCTGAATGTTTCTGATCTGAATTTTTTAAGTTCTGATCTGATCTGAATTTTTCTGATCTGATCTGATCTGATCTGAATCTTTCTGATCTGATCTGATCTGATCTGAATCTTTCTGATCTGATCTGAATCTTTCTGATCTGATCTGAATGTTGCTGAACTGATCTGAATGTTGCTGATCTGATCTGATCTGAATGTTTCTGATCTGATCTGAATTCTTCTGATCTGAATCTTTCTGATCTGATTTGAATATTTCTATAATTGTAATTGTAATTACAATTATAATTATTAGATTTATAATTGTAATTAAAAATATAACTTAAATAAAATTACAATTATAATCATAATTATAAAAAAATAATAATTAAAATTAAATTTAAAATTATAATAATTATACCAATTACACTAATTATAAATACAGATACAATTATAAATGTAATTATATTTTTAACTATGATTAATTTTATAATTATTATTATTTTAATTATAATTATAATATTTATTTCTATAGTCATAATTATGTCTATAATTACTAATTTAAATATATAATTACTCCGAAGTAATAATAATTACAACAATAACAACAAGAACAACAATCATATTAATAATGATGATTATAATTATAATTACATTGTAAATCATAATTATAATTATAATTATAAATATATTATATTATATTATATTATATTATATTATATTATATTATATTATATTATATTATATTATATTATATTATATTATATTATATTATATTATATTATATTATATTATATTATATTATATTATATTATATTATATTATATTATATTAGATTAGATTATTATAATATAATAATAATTTTATATTATTAACATTATTATTATATTATTATTAATAATATTATTATATTAATATATTAATATTATTAACAATAACTATAATATAATAATCATAATTAATATAATAATAAAAGTGATAAATCATGTTTGAATTTTTTGACCTGATCTGATCTGAATGTTTCTGATCTGATCTGAATGTTTCTGATCTGGTCTGATCTGATCTGAATCTTTCTAATCTGATCTGAATGTTGCTGATCTGATCTGAATCTTTCTGATCTGATCTGAATGTTTATGATCTGATCTGATCTGATCTGAATCTTTCTGATCTGATCTGATCTGAATCTTTCTGATCTGATCTGATCTGAATAAAATAAGATTAAGGAATAAGTAATAAGATTAAGACCCACGGAACAGCTTCTTAGTCTAATATTCATTTCATGGTTGGGGCTACGATGAAATGAGCATAGCGTTAAATTTTAACGGGTGGCAGGCTTTGGTTGATGTCCTCCTACACCGTTTGTATCTCCGTTCTTTACTCAAATAAACTCTCTCTTATTTAAAAAAAAAAAACAGGTTTAGATGCCCTTTTGTAGAATAAATATATAAGTGCACTAATAATCTTGTTCAATAGTTCAGCTTTATTTCAATGACATTAAGGATGTTTTTACTTGGACTGTAATTTGTCCCAGACCAGATCAGACCAGACCAGTCCAGACTTGGATAGTTATAAAAATACAAAGAAACCAGACCTTACCAGACCAGACCAGCAAATTACAGTCCAAGTAAAAACATCCTAACTAATAGTTATGTCAACATATTCAAGAGATAGTGAAAAAACAAGTTAAGCCATATGTTTTTTTTTTGTAATGGGACGTACTTTTTATTGTTTTGTAAAAATGAGTATGGCTATTGAATCTTTAAGAGTGGTAATCACTGATTTTAATTTATTTTGATTTCAGATTTTTTGTGGTTTGCAATTTTAATTCCATCTATTGTCACTTTTCAGATTATGTGATACTTTATTTCTAATTTGATTTTGGGTAGGTGTTTAGTGACTATTGGTAGAAATAAGCTACTTTTTAAATAATGATTAAGTTTAACATGATTCTATTTTTTAGGGGATGTAAATTTTTAGATTTACATATAATAATCAGGCAACCAAAGCAAACCCTCGAATACTACGTGTATTGATAGCTATCAACCCTTCAAGTCTTCAAACCTGATTTTTTATGGGTAAATCACATTCTCCAATAAAATTATTAATGCCAAAGTGCTTCTGCAACCTTGCTCAATACTCTCTATCTAATTGTATTCGAACTACTATGTTGTACTGTCTCTTAAATCATTGACAATTTCTTCACCAGCATGCCCAGACAGTATATATAGGCATATAGTTATTATAAGTCCATATGTTATTTTAATCGTAACCCATATTTAGAGGTAGACTTAATTGGATTCCTAAATTCAAAGTTCCTAGAAATTATTTGACAAAAGATATAGAGCTGTAAAAGAAAAGGTAGACTCACCTTAGTTTTGCATCAGGTTAAGATTGAGATCCTTACTTGAATATAATATGGTCAACACATATTACTATGTATTATATAGTGTTATGACCCATACTACAAATAATGTCTTTTAAAAAGTATTTTAAAATGCTAAATTGACTTATACAAATATTATTAAGTAGTACGTAGTATTAAGTACTAAAATGAGACATTCAATTCAATTAAAAAAGAGAGTCAAGTTACCTATTCAATGGTGCTAGAAAGATCAGAATTCTAAAAACTGTTTAGCGTGACACCCATTCAAAAACAATAATGGTCTCTTTAATCATATCAGCACGGTTTGATTTGGGAATGGTACTTGTCCGTCTTTGAATAGCCAACTTCATAAGAATTTGGATTGGGCTCTTGTTCGTTTTCTTTGTTAGTTTTCGAGAAAAAAAGGAACGATGCGTATAATGGAACTTGTTCTCTGCTTGCAATTATATCAGGTATGGTAGTGTTTGCTTTTGGTTATATGTTAAGCGTGAGTTATCAAATATTCTATATATTTTAGAAAAATTGATACAGCAAGAGTTGATTTCAGCAGAACGTGAGTGACTTTTCAAATAGAGTTTGTATCCATTAAAGGAGCGGCTGGAAGTAGACTTCATGAAGTAAGATGTTATACTTCTTGGTAGACTTGGACTCGGGCCGGTTCGGGCCTGGACCCGGCCGGGCCTCGGGCCAGGAAAGTTGGGCCCGAGCCCGAACCGCCAGTGGGCGGTTCCGGTTCCGGGCCAAACCGGGCCGGGCCGGGCCTAACCGGTACTATTTTTTTTTTTGGCTCTTCTATTTAACCCCCAACCCCTCCCCCTCAACCCCAAACCACCTCAAATGGCCCAAAATACCTAATCCAACCAAAAACTTAAAAAAAATTCAAAAAAAAAATACAAAAAATAAAAACCGGCCCGAACCGGCTGGGCCGGTTCACCAAAAACTGGGCCCGAGCCCGAACCTCCCAGCACCCTGGTCGGGACGAACCGAACCGGTGGACCCACCGGGCCCCGGGCCGGGCCAAACAGTAACCGGTCCGGGCCGGTTCCGGGCCGGGCCGGTTCTGGGCCGGGCCGCCCAGCCCGAGTCCACCCCTACTTCTTGGTAATAACCCATTTATCGTAGCTCTTAATTCTTAATTGTTATGGTGGGTGAAAAGAATGATTGGTTTTATACTTTTGCTTGTACTTCAAATAACCAAAATTTTCTCATAAAATTAAAGAAACGTGAATAAATGAGGATACCTCATTTAGTCTGTGTGACTGTGTGTATGTTGATACAATAATCTGGTTTGTATGATTGGTTTGTCTTAGCGTTATTTTTGCATTCATTATATATAACTGATTTGGTTGAAGTTCTCATTAGTCGTTGTCCTCTTAATTCATCTGCACCAAGCAATAAAATAGATGTTCCCCTGCCACGTCCTCTGCAAAGGTGTTTTATCGGTAGCACTTTAGATATTTTTTCTTCGAAGAGGATCCGGAGGAAGCTCGATATTTCAATATAAGGAAAATCAATGCGAGCTGAGCAAAACGCCCTGAATTACATTTAATTTGTAGGGAAGGAGGGCCTATCAACTAAGTCCA